AGAAAGTGGATTTATTAGAGTGATTTACAGGCTTCCATTCAGTTGATCCAAAAATGGCTGGCTGTGAACAGAAAGTCCAAGAACCCAGTGTTTGCTCAGTCCCGGAACTGGATGTCTCAGTTGGTCTTCAAATACTCAGGAATCCTGAAGAAGTGGGCTCTAAAGCCAATGAAGCAATGGACTTGCTAGGAAGGTGAGGGCAAGCAGGCAAAGAGTAAAAGCTTTCTTCTCCCATGTCCTTATGTAGTCTTCTAGTACATGGTGCGGTTCCAATTAGTTCTGCACTAAACGCATCTTTTCTTCCCCAGTTCATATGACCCAGACTAAAGCTATGTCTTCCTACTTCAAATTAGGCAGAAATCCCTTACAGGTGGCCCTCCATTTGGGGGTTTTAGCGCAGATGTCAAGTTGGCAACCAAGAGTAGCCACCACGGTGGTTATTATTGCAGTCCAAAGAGAAACCCTGTCTCAGAGAAAAATAAATAAAAGTAAAGAAATAAAATAATAATAATAATAATAAATAAATAAGCCACGTAAAGATGGAAAATACACAGAGAGTCTGGATACTGTACGCTATTGTGTTTTTCAGTTTTTTGATTGCTAAGGAACAGCTGCTAAAGTACACTTGATTATACATGCTGCTGAATTAATCTAACTTCTATCTTTTGAAAATGCCTTGACTTCAAAATTTAAGTATAAGAATATGTTACTCAGAAAAGGAGTTTTAGTTTATGTTTCCACAGAAAATGAAAAGCTGAGGATTCCTTCCAGGCTTCTGTGGTTTGATGAACCAAGACTCCCGGAAGCAATGGACCAGGTGTTCCAACAACTGAAACAGCTAAGATGATGCAGCCTTACAGACCCTGAAACCAAGGACTTATACAGGTTTCTGAGTTTTGTAATGATCCCCATGGTATAAACAGCGCCCCCTTCCAGCACGAAGCAGTTTGGAATGAGTGACGTCCTAATTCCCATCTTGTTTATAAATCTTTGTTTTCATTTCAATGGGGTTGTTTATAATTGGTTAATGATCACAACCAATCTCCTTTTAATGGTAAAAAGGCGAATTATGGTATGGGTATTGTTTTTCATTTATTGATACAAATTCAAGGTCAATTTTGTGATGTGTATATTTCTCCTCTTGATTAAGTATTGTGCTTATACTGTTCTTTTAAAACATAATGCATAATTGAATACAGACTATAGATGTTACTTATAATAGTCAGAACTTATAGTTAGGTAAGTTAGGTTTTCTAGATAGATAGAGATGCATTTGAGACAGATAGTCTTCAAACCTTTCAAAGACCTTCAGAAAATGGCATTTAAAATGGTTTAGGGTTTTTCTTGACAATGAGAAATGTCTGCTCCTGGCAGCACCAATTATGTCTGAGAGGAAGATGGGCATCGAAGAAACTTGTTATGGAGTTTGCTTTCAACATGGCAAGATTAGCCATTTGGGCAAGAAACTGCTCTTGCCTGTACTGCTTGACTGTTGTTGTAAAATCTGGACATGCAGGACCCACAGAAATGTGACTGCTGAACTCAGTCTTACAGGGTTCCTGCTTCATTGAAGAGTCTATGAGACTTTCTGCAGGACACAGAGAAATGACTGACAGACTGCCAATGCAGATGGACAGTTTTGAAATTTCCTGCTTTGCTAAGAAATCTTCTGGATACATTGTGGCCTATGGGCTGAAGATGGATGCCCCAACGTTACAGAGGAACTTTGGGTGACTGTCCAGGTAGCAAGATGTCTCTGTCAATTCTAGTGTTTATATATTATCCTTCTGTGGTCTTTGATAGAGTTGAAGACAGATAGTTATAGTTATAGTTTTCCTTAGTTATGATAAAAGATAAGCTACATATAGAACTTTGGAAGGGATGGATATTTTCTTTAAATCTTGCTAAAATATTGTAACTATGTTCTTATTTGATAACTGTTCTGTTATATACAATTTGACTGTGTTAAAGTTAAGACCTTTCCTTTTGTTTAAACAGAAAAGAGGAGATGTTGGGGAAGTCTTATGTCAATAAAGCACTGTGGAACCAATAGGAATCTAGATAGGTGGGACTAGGAGTCCAGGAGGACTCTGGGAAGAAGAAACACAGGGAGTCAAGATGTAACGCCATGGGGTAGGAAGCCCGGAAACTTCTCCAGTAAGAGACATACTTAGATTAACAATTATGGGGTAATTACTTAAGTCAGAGCTAGCCAGTAAGAAACAAGCAAGGCCAACAGCTTCATAATTAATATAGCCTCCTGTGTGTTTATTTGGGACTGATGCGGCTCTAGAACCAGGCTGGTGGGAAGGCTTCTCTCAAAGAAAAAGGCTTCTCTTTACAGTTTCAGACATTGAGTCCATTCTCATCATGGTGAGGAGCATGGCAGCATGCAGGCAGACATCCTGGCTTGTAGACAACAGAGAGTCAGCTGAGACACTGGTGGTATCCTGAGCATTGGAAACCTCAAAGCTGACCCCACAATGACACACTTCCTATAACAAGGCCACCCCACTCTAACAAAGCCACACCTCCCAATAGTACCATTTCCTGTGAGCTTATGGGGGCCAATTATATTCAAACTACCACACTACCCCTCTTCCATTAAGATCGTTCTTTCCCTTTCTGACAAATGATTCCTTTTCTAGTTTCCTGGATTCTAAAGGTGCTTCAAATTAAATTCATAGTCAAAGAGTGAATAGTAAGACCCAATATGAGTCAGAATTTGTGATGGTTGTCCTTAATCTGGCTACTTCACTTTGTAGGCTTTCCAGCAGCATTCATTTACAAGCAACTTTCATTTTTCTGAATAAAATTTTATTTTCTGAATGGAATCCTCAGGAGGGCATCCTTGAAAAGATAAGTCCTTATAAAAATATACATTAGCAATTATGGGTTAATAATTAAGTCAGGTCTGGCCACTCAGAGACCAAAGCAAACAGCGAACAGCTTCATGATTAATATAGCGTCCTGTGTGTTCATTTTGGACTGACGCGGCTGTGGGACCAGGCTGGGGGAAGAATGCTCCTTACAGAATCCCACTGTGTGTGTGGATGTACCTCATCTCCACTATCTGTTCTTCAGTTGACAAATAGCTATGCTGTTCCATACACCAGCTATTGTGAGTAGCGTAGCTATGAGCATGGATGAGTACACTCTATGATAGGAATTAGAATCCTGTGTGTTTATGCCCAGGGGTGACATAGCTGGTGAGGGGTTCTAGCTGGCTGGAGCATGGCAAACACAGGCCCAAGCACAGCAAACTTGGTGGGGTTGACAGGTTTTGCCTTTCATCCCCGTCCCCTTTGCTAAAAACTGTGAGATTACATCCCTACAGCTGGCCTCCAGAGTCTGTCTCATTATTTGGCTACTGGCTCATTATGGAGACAAAATGCTATAGTTCAATAATCAAAATTTGGTTAAAATGTCCAATCAGGATTTACCAACTCACCATAGCACAGACGCCCCTTCTCCCCCTTTCTCCTTAAAATTCCACTTCTGAGGCTGGAGAGATGGCTCAGTGCTTAAGAGCACTGGTTACTCTTCCCTAGGTTGCAAGTTCAATTCCCAGCCACCACATGGTGGCTCACAAACATCTCTAGTATGATCTGATGCCCTCTTCTGGCTCAAAGGCATACATGCAGACAGAGGACTCATATATAAAAAAATCCCACTTGGGAAAATAACGCTTGTCTGCTCTCTGGCTGCTGCCGCTGCCTTCGCAGCCTCCCCTGGCCCTGCTTGCCCCTCTGAGGCAATAAATCTCCTTTGTGCTGAAAATTTGGTGTCTGGAAGTGTCCTATGCCAATTCCTGGGGGTGACGCCCCTTACAGCTGGGCCATATGGTAGGCACATTTTAGTTGTATTTATTTATGGAAACCCTGTGACTGATTTCAGTGGCAGTTGAAAATTTGCCCAACCTATAGGACAGCATGAGTTTCCCAACATGGTCTTCAGCTTTGTTCTCTTGTTTTCCTTAGCTCTGCCCTTCTGACGGTGATAACAGGAAGTATAAATTCATTTCTAAGCCTGGTGTTGGTGTCAATCCCAGCAGTCCGGAGGCAGAGGCAGGTGGATCTCTGTGACTTCGAGGCCAACCTGATCTACAGAACGAGTTCCAGGACAACCTCCAAAGCAATACAAAGAAAGCCTGTTTCAAAAAAACAAAACAAAAACAAACAAGAAAAAAATCACATCTCATCTGCATTTCCCTCATGTCTCAACAACTGCAGTTAAAACCCCCAAATGGAGGGCACACCTGTAAGGGATGTTTGACTAATTTGAAGTAGGAAAACATAGCTTTAGTCTGGGTCATTTGAACTGGGAAAGAAATGTATTGATGAAGCCGCCATTGGTATATTTATTGTTTAGGATTTTTTGGCTATCTGGGATCTTTTGGGCTTCCATAAGGATTTAAAATTATTTTTTCTAGTTTTGTGAAGAATTGAGACGGATTTTTTATTTTCAATCTGTAGGTTGTTTCTGGAACATGGTCATTTTCATGTAATCATCCTACCTATCCATGTGGAAGGTTCTCCCCATCTCCTGGTGTCTTCTCCACCTCCTCCTACATGGCAAAGCTTTCATTGCACAAGAGCTTTAAGGCCTGTGACCTTTTTTGTTTGTGTGTTTATATTGCAGCTGTTAACTCTGCAAAGCTGTGATTCTCTGCCTGTCTAAGCCACCTGACTGATAGTCTAACAAAGAGCTGAATGGCCAATAGAAAGTCAAGACCAAGGATAGGCTGGGCTGCTAGGCACGGAGAATAAATAGAAGGGGAAATGAGGAGGAGCAACAAGAGAACAAGGAGAACATGACATCCAGGACCAGAACACAGTCACCCATTCACCAACCCACACAGCCACCAACCCACACAGCCAACAACCCACACAGCCAACAACCCAAACAGCCAACAACCTAGTCAGCCACCCAGACAACAACCTACCCAACCACCAACCAACTCAGCCACCCAGCCACACAGCCACCAACCCACCCAGCCACCAATCCACCCAGCCACCAACCTACACAGCCACCAACAAATCCAGCCACTCAGCCACCCAGCATTTTAACCATCCACTTAGTACAAGGATAGGCGCGCGCGCACGCGCACACACACACACAAACACACACACATACACTCAAACTCACAGAGTTACTGTTATTTGTTAGGTTGTTTTTGCATAATTTCTTCACTATGTAGCTTTGGCTGGCCTAGAACTCAGTATTTGGACCAGGTTGGCCTTGAACTTGTAGAGATCCACCTACTTCTGTCCCCTGAGTGCTGGGACTTTAGCCTTCTTTAGGTGCCATCATGCCTGGATCACAAAATGAAACAAACGAATGAAAAAGTCCTGAGGTTGGAAAAGGGTAAATATATGATCTGCAGCCAAATACTCCCATGTTGAGACTGAATGTGACTCCAAAGCCAGATCCACCAGGTGGTTTGAAGGGACCAATTGATATTAAGGGTTATGTAGTCATCAAATAAATGTTTGAAAACTAAGGCAGCAGTCAATGTTGTCCCTGAGGAGACGATGGTCAGTCTGCCACCTAGAGGAGAACTCGGATTGACCAGGACAGCACAACTCTAGAGCAGAGCTCTCATCAGAGCCCAGCCTCCCTGATGTGTCTCAACACTGTTCTCAAATATGAGAGATTTCCACTCACACCTGGGAAAAGCGTCCACAGCATGCCGTAGTCCTCACCCTCCATCTGGGACCTAAATATTTTGAAGGCATAAGATGTAAGTGACCCCCTCACACCAAATGGTTTGAAAAGGGATATTCTATTCAATTTTATTCATATTGCAAGAATACGTGTTGGAATACACAAAAGAGTATATATTTTAATTTCTCATTTATATGTAAACAAAGCTGAAATCTTTTCTCAAAAAATATTTATTTTCAGAAGGGGATTTTGAAAAGGAAGGAAACATTCCTGGCCAATGTTTGGAAAGTATAGCTCAATTTGGGAATTGCTATGGGAAACCAATCAAATAGAGGAGCTCTGGCTATGGAGGGAGAAGGTGCTGATTATCTTCCCTACGTTCCAAGAGGCTCCTGGGAAGGAACCTGGGCTTCTGGTCAGCTCAGGGAGAACTAGTGAGCAGGTGGCAAGGGCGGTGCCCCATGACATCAGCAGCGCCTTCCCTGGACATTCTACATTCTCCCAGAGAACTCTTGGCATTCCCTGTGACGTCACCAGTGTCGTAGCGACACCAACTGCCCTTAGGAGATCCCTTCAGTGTCTCTAGAGCACACCATTAGACATGTTGTCAAGATTTAGGTCTCTTCTTGTGAGAGGCAGTGGAGAACTTCCTGAGACCAGAGCGAGGCAGCAGGAAGCTGCCCTTCAGACTAGAAGTAAAACAGGAAGAAAGAAATGGTTCTGGCAGAAGAGCAGTGAGTCCTGGGCAGGAGACTAGAGCTTCCTGGGGGAGCAGGAGGGTTTGAGCTGGACCTTCCAGTGATGAGGCAGAGGAGCCAGAGCCTCTGAGAAGCAAATGGACTTCCCTGCTTGTCACAATCCCAGAACATCAAGGATTCCAAACATTAGTTGCTCCGTCCCCTAAGTCAGGAGCTGTCCAGTCCAGGGCTGTTGAGCTGGGAGCTCCTAACTTTTACATTTAAGGGGTTTTGGGGTGTAATGTGGAATCAGAAGGAGACCAGCAGGAGGCAGAGAGAGACGAATGTGCCCCCAGCTGAGGGTAGGCTTCACTGCACTTCACCCTCAGTGATTTGCTTTAGGGGCAGTGGCTGCCTGACAACACTCACAGGGAGAGGAAGGGGCTTCTGACAAAGACCTTGTGCCTCAGACTGTACAGCAGACCTCCTTTGTCCACCTCTCTCTGACAATGGCCCCCTTAGCTGAGGAGGATGGCTACAGTTCTCTAGTGTAGACACACAACTGTCAGAGATGGGACCAGGGCAGAGATTGGTTCCTAGGTGCCAGCCTCCATGTACAGGGCTGTGACTGGTGCGACTCGGTTAATCTTGTGACCATAATGTCCCTTTGCAGGACTTTTCAATCCCCAGTCATGGGCCTGCAGTAAGCAGGAAGGAGATTTGGCCTCCTCACAGAACATGGATGCTTGTACACTGTGCCATTCATCTCCTGGCTTCTGAATCCACAGGCTGGGCTAAGGGCTCTGGACCACCCTGGATCCTGTGCCATGGTGAATAATGCTAAAGAGCTGATCTCTGTGTTCCCCTGAAGCATGTGTAGGGAAGCAGAGGAAACCCCTGTCTCCTTACATAGTCACAGGTCTACAGAGTAATGGGAGAGCTGAGATCCACAGATGGGGCGTCTCAACCCGGCTCAAATTATTTGTGTCATCACTGGGCTCCAGACAAAATCTTTCTGTTTGGTCTCAGTTGGTGTGTCCATTCTCTATGCTTTGTCACTGGGTGAGCTCAGCTGTGTTCATCTACCCACAGAGGCTGCTGTGGAGGCCTCATCCCAGCCAACGCCCCTCACCCAGAAACAGGTGAAGAAGGAACTGGAGAGGCTGAGCACGGAGCTGCAGCTGATGAGAAGACAAAGGGATGAGCTGCGAGATCGCCTGCTCTTCATCACGGAAGGAACCGTGGACAACAGGTAGCCATTGTTTGACTCCAAGGGACTGTGGGCGATGCTGCCCTCACATGCGAACTCTACTTTTAAGGTTTTGTGTTCTAGGAGACATCACCTCCAGAATGACTTCTCATAGGAGAGGCAGACCCGAAGCTTTAGAGGGACTGATATGGGGCCTCTAATTATTCTGCTCTCTACAAATGAGAACTAGAGCCTTTGGATGAGACACAAACTAGAGTGTAACGCAGTAATGTGTGAGTTCCCAGCATGCAATTGGAAGATCCTGAGAGCTGGTAGTTTGTGTGAGATACTGTCTTCTGTGAGTTTGTGTTGAGTCTTTGAACTTGTCTAGTAGGTGACTGTGTGCTGGAAGCTCTTGGAAGTTGATGGAGGGGAAGGTCCAGTAGGTCCATTTGAGTGCAGGACTGTATATCCTGGATTACATCCATGTTTCTCTTGTAATGTGAATACCTATAGTCCCTGCAACCCAAGACATCACCAGCCAGTCCCTTCTCTACCTTGTGATGGGTCTTATCTGCACCTAAATCCATGCCCATAAGGGGCGGTCCCTACTACAGTTCACTGGCACATCAAGATGCCATGACCCTTCTGCCTTACATGCTTGGACAATACTGCTCCAAATGTGTCCTTAGCACCTAATTATGGGCACATGCTCCACCTATATCTTGATACCTCTCCTTCTCTCTGTAATGTGTGTGAAATTGTGTGTGTGTGTTTGTGTGTGTGTTTGTGTATGTGTGTATTGTGTGTGTGCTTGGGCATTTAGGTTTGTCTATCTCTACAAATTCAGGGAGACCCAGATCTCTGGTGTGGCCTGGGTTTTCCTGTCTCAGTTTCCAAGTGATCCCAGTGCAGAGGTCAGGGAGTCCCATTTCAAACGACACTGATCTTGTCCTATGTGCTCACATTGGTGGCAACTGGGAATCCCTTGGGGGAGATTTTATAGTTGTCCTCATGATGGGTCTCAACCGTAGAATTTCGTGCTCTGTCTAACTCTTCAGTAATAGTCACCCAGGACCTAGACTCACTGTTGTGACATGGCAGAAATGTCATTGTGATATCTGGTGTGCCAAGACATGTGGCATACACTCCCGGTGTCATGAGACCTTGACCGACTCTGCAGGCTGACTGCGTGAGCTCATGCAGCCAGGGTGGCCTCCACGTGAACACCCAGCCTCTGCTGCCCTGGGACCCGGATCACACGTTTAAAGCACCAGGAAGTCCCAGTACACATGAGCCAGAGTGTGCCATGCACCGGGCTGTGGGAGACCAGGTACAGCTGGAGTGCATGATCCTTGAGGGCAGTGTCCATGGCATTCTGTTGTCCTGTCTCTAGGCCCTACCACAAGCCAAATCCTTTCTATGAGAAACTGAAGTTGGAGCATGAACAGGTCATGTCAGAACTGAAGAGACTGCAGAATGAGAAGACAGGAGCATCAGAGAAGTGCCATGAGCTGACCAAGGAGACAGTCTTTTATCGGTAGGTGACAAGGAGACAGTCTTTATCGGTAGGTGACAATCTTGGCACAGACCCCATGAGACTATGTGCCATCGCAGCCCTTTACCCCAGGACTGGAGAGTCACAGCTCTGGTCCTAGCCTTTCTGTTCCTTAGGAAGCAGTTCTTGGATTGTATCTCTGGGAGTCAGTTTTGCCAAGTGTGAAAGAGACTGCTGCCCATGTCACCATTGTCCTGGAGTCTCAGGGAGCAGAGATAGAAAGGTGGATTTGCACTGTGGGGGCGACGAAAGGCGTCCCAGTGCATCTGGAGCTAAGCTCTGGCTGTACAGATCTGGTGGCCTTAGGTCGTTAGATGGGAGATACTCACCAATCGTCTCCTGTCCTTTCTTGGAGGGATTTGCCCACTACTTGCCGATGTTTCCCCCTTACCATGGATAGCAGGGACTCCCCGTTCTATTGAACACATCATATGAGTCTCTTTAGTGTGGGGCTTTCTGTAGTAGTTTGATTCTTCCTGGTAGTAGCTGTTTTCCTTGATCTTCTGAGGTCAGCTGTCATGGGTGAGCCTGACTCATGACTGGATCTTCCTGGAACCTGGTATTTTGGGGGTATTGGTTCTTAGAGGCAGGGGTGGCAGGAGAAGCCTGGCAGGGCCTTATCTGCAGAGTGTGTCTCCAGAGGTCTGCACAGCCGACTCGTGATGGAACAGACTCAGATGACCAAGAAGGTGGACATGCAGAGGCAGGAGAACAGACACCTGCTGGAGGATTGGGTCCTGCTGAAGCACCACCTGGAGGACTTGAGAGAGCTCTGCAAGGATGGAGAGGAAGAGACCAGAGACCTCAAAACCCCAGAACAGCAGGTAGGGGCAGTTAGGCTGAGGCCTGGAAACCTTTGTTTGTTTGACACTGTCTCCCCATCCCCCACCTGCGCTTTCAGTCATCATCCTACTCATGCATGCTCCCATGCAGTCACCCACTGCATGCATCCTCGTGCTCATTTCAGTGTCCATGCACATGTGCTTCTGTGACGTCAGCCTCTACTGAGAAAGTGAATTAATATCAAGTCATCCCTGCTGCTCTGCCTGTAGCTGCAGTCCTGTGTAGGAGATGGGTCAATAGCGTGTCTCAGGCATACATGGCATTATGATAGGTAGGAATCAATGCATAGAGCTCTGGGTGAGTGAGTTCTGGGTCCTGGGGCCCATTAGCTTGGCAGGGCTCACATGAGATCACAGATGGCAGCAGTTTGCAAGGAGGTGATCTCTGTGTCAGGACCAAATGAGAGCTTCTCATAGTCATGGCTTCGGATGGCATGTGGTCTTCTCCTTTCTCCCTGCATCCCTGTGAGCTCTCTTCAGTTTGCCAAGCTTGAGTAACAGCTCTTCAGCCCTGTTTCCTGTCAGTGGTTCTGGAGATTTCTCCCATTCAGCAGAACACAGTCTGGGGTAGACAGAATGAACAGCTGGGGGATTTGACAAGGTTGTGGTAGAAGAAGGAGATTTGTGCCCTCAAATAAAAATTTCTCAAAGCAGCTCAACATATTTTGGTCAAACGAATCACAATTCAGACAGTAGTACTAGTCCCCAAGGAATGGTGGCTGAGTTATGAAATATCTGGTAGTCTAAACTCAACTGCTCACCTGCCCTGACTCTTTCTCTGCTAGTTCCCTTTCTCTTCTTGTGTTTTCTCTCACTCTCCGTGTGTGTGTGTGTGTGTGTGTGTGTGTGTTTGTGTAGTGTGTCCATGTGTGTGTTGTAGTACATCATGCATGTGTGCATTTCCTAGGGAATACCACTTGGTTTCTTGTTAGTCTCTACTCTGGTTTGGGGTTTTATATTTCCTAGACGCTTATGTTTTTGCTATCCATACTGAAAAGGAAGCCACCGAGGTCCTTTTATGCGCTTCCGTTTGTATGAAAGTGTGTGACCCTGCACTAAGAACACAATCTTCTAATGAACAGGAGCTGCAGAGACTGCAGAAAATACTTGACTTCCTGATGAAGCAGAAGGAGACGGTCATGCAGGAAAAGGAGTTGGTGGAGAAGCTGCAGCATCACTTGGAGATGTCCCAGATGAGGTAGGAGCCCAGGATACGGGGAGAAGAGAGTACCTAGGATCTGTGTCTTCTCTGGAGTTCTCACTTGCATGTCTCCCAGCCAGAACCATGGAAAGACGACCTCAGAGAAATGTGCTAGTACAGACAGCAGGAACACAAGTCCATGAGACAATAAGTTTGATACTCAGTATGTGTGTAGAATTGGGTCTCCCTCCATCCATTCTGAACTCTCTATGTTCTTAGCATGACTTCTTTAAATTCACAAATATCAACCTTCTGAAGAAGAAGCCTCCAAAGAGATAGAATTCAAAGTTGAAGACGTTAGAGCCTGTTTGAAATTGTAATTTTATTTAGAAAAATCCCCTGTAGAAAAGAGATTCCCACCTTTGAGCACAGCTTTCTGAAATATTTGCCCATTTTCTATGCAAAGTACTCTCTGGATAGAACAGGTCCGGAACATTTCAGGATGAACCCAGGCAGATGCCTCAGTTGGAGGAAGACCAGAACTTCTCAGGAGTGTTCTGTCACTGACTCTCAAGGGAGACAGGATGCAGATTCCCAGCTCTAGTCCTGAGGACATCACAAGTTTTTGTCCCAGAGCCCAGGCAGGGACAGTGCTCTCATGCACACATGTCAGGAAAAGCTGCTCTAGCCTGGCAGGGTCTATCTTGCATGTCACTCATGTTCAATGTCTCTCCTGTACATGGGGACAGAGCTAGTCATGACCTTGTACAGGAGCCCAGGTTGTAGGGGCTGTCTTATGTTTATCTATAAAATATGTGGTCAATAGTAACTCACCACATATAACATCTGTTGTGCTCATATCCTGTTGACCATATTAATATGCTATTGCTATTTAAAGAGTGATGATTCTAATCTCCAGGATAAGGTCCTATTCATGCTAGTAGAAAGGACAGCATACAGAGCTTAGTTTAATTTATGACATGTGCTTAGGGTTGAGAAATGTTCTAGACCCAGCTACTCCTCAATCCTTATTCTTTGGGGGTACCAACACTGACATCAGTCACAAGATCAATGTTGACTGTACAACACAGGTGAGGTGGAGGGGAGGGAGCAGCTTAGCAGCCTACATGGAAGTTCCCAACCTGGCCTGAGTCCTCCCTTCTCTTTTCTCCCAGGTTCAAAAGCATTCAGCCTGTCCTGAAGCCGGCCACATCCTAGGATTAGAGCCACTTTAAGACACAGCTGCTTCAGCAGAGACACCTGCTGAGTCACATCCCTGGAACTACTGAATTCTCCCTCAGTCTTGGTGGAGAACATGACAGACAGAGCCCAATAGAGGAAAGGCTGTAGGCATCTTGATAAAACTGTCACACTGTAGACTCCCCTGGTACTCTGCAAGGCCAGCCCTAGGTTGCAGGACTGTGCCTGTCAATCTGCAGGAAGAAAATGCTGTTCATATTCTTTATTGTTTTGGTTTTGGTTCATGTTTTTGTTTTGGTTGTTTTTGCTTTGCTGTTTAATGTTATTCTTGTTAATCTTTTTCCTAGGTTGCTTTTTATTGACTACCCCTTTAAAGCCCGTTTTGAGACAAGTGTTTTTTCATGAATTAAAAAGCCATTTATTTCCAACTCTTGAGAGTCCAGCCCAGCTTCTTTAGTCAGGTGTGGTGGCACACTCCTGTAACCCAGAATTCATAGGCACTGATGGACATCTGCCAGTTCCAGGCAGCACAGGCAAAATAGTGACTGCCAGCCAGGACTACACAGGGGATTGTTGTCCTGGATGTGCATACAATGACTTTGTGATGACCTACTATTTATGATTTAACAAATATTGCCAGAAGTATTAGAATTCAATGCCAGTCATGTTAATTCATAATTCGAAGTATAAAAGAAATCAGGGTATCCAGAGTTATCAGCTTCTTTTTTTCTAGCAATGCTGCATCAGTGATAACCACAGAACAAAGATACGGTCCCTCGAAGTCACTTTTGGAAAGAACATTTTACAACCTAGGTCATTCCTATTCTTGCATTTGTCCCCCATGCTTGCATTTCTCCCGGAGTCCAGAAGAGGGCATGGGCTCTCCTGTCATAGATGGTTATTAGGTACCATGGGAGAGAGCAAGTGCTCTTAACCTGTGAGGCATCTCTCCAGCTTCTGCTCTGGTTTTAGTCCTTCAAGCCCTAGGTGGTGAAGTAGGTAGACTGGAAAACTCCCAACCAAATAGAGAATCCTCTGGAGACATGGAGGGACAGGTCCATGAGGTAGACATGCTAACTGTTGTAGGCTGCCTGGCATCTATGCAGGGTCAGGTGTCCCCTCTGACCTCTGGATTCATGATCAGGACTCCATCGCTAATTGTCAAGGTTGGAGCGGATCTGTCGCCTCTCATCTAGGAGGACAAGGTATATTAGGCACATGTGATGACAGGCAGAGTTTGATGACCCTCCTTGGGCCTGGGTGTGGGGTAAGAAATCCCTCATAGCATGGAAGATGTCCAGCTACACAGTGTTGGGAGGAAGAAGCAGAGCAGACTCAGGGCACGGAGCCTGCAGCAGAGCACATGTGCTCCTGGGGGAGAGCATGGCCGTGCAAGCCCGGCACAGCAGGGGGACAGGGGAAGCTGCCCTTTGCCATGGCACATGTCAGAGTATACTGAGGAAGGTTTACTTCCAGGTGACTCTCCCATCCACCCATCCAGAAGGATAAGGCCACCCAAATGGAGTCCAGAAAACCTGGCACATTAAGTTCAGGCAGGACCAGCACCTCCTCTCTGCCTCAAGGCCAAGCAAGGCATCCCACTGTAGGCAGTGGGCTGATGGTGATGAGCCTGGCTGTCAAGGCCACTTAAAAAAGATATTAATTTATTCATTTTAATTTTATTTATTTTTAATTTTTCGAATTCTAAATTTACATTTAAATTATAAACAAGTTTACTTCACACGTCAATCCCAGGTCCCTCTCCCTTTACCTCCCCTCCTTCCAATCCCTCCCACCCACCCCCCAGTACCCCCACATTACCCAGGGGGGGTGAGGACGTCCATTGGTTGTCCATAATCTGTCATTTCATCCAGGTCAGGACCTAGACCCTCCCCCAAATGGTCCAGGGTGAGACTGCATCTCTCATTGTGGGATGGGCACTCAAAGTCCATTTGTATGCCAGGGATAAATACTGATCTACTACGCAAGGTCCAACAGATTGCCTAGGCCTCCTCACTGACACGCACATTCAGGGGGGGTCTTGATCAGTCCCATGCTGGATTCCCAGCCATCAGTCTAGGATTCGATGGGTAACCCTTGTCAAGTCAGCTGTTTCTGGGGGTTAGACCAGCCCAGTCTGAACCCCTTTGCCCAACAGTCCTCCCTCTCTGTCACTGGGTTCCTTGAGTTCAGCTCAGTGGTTAGCTGTAGGAGTCTGCCTCTGCATCCATCAGCCATTGAATGAAGGTTTTGTTTCCCAGCCTCTCTGTCAGTAAGAATGTATGCTGGCACTCCTCAGATCTAGGTCTAAAATCCATAAATGAGAAAGTGCATATCATGTTTCTCTTTTTGTGACTGGGTTACCTCACTCAGGATGGTTTCTTCTATTGCCTTCCATTTGCCTGCAAATTTCAAGATTCCATTGTTTTTGTCTGCTGAATAGTACTCCATTGTGTAAATGTACCACATTTTCTCTATCCACTTTTCAGTTGAGGGGCATCTAGGTTGCTTCCACGTTCTGGCCATTACAAATAATGCTGCTATAAACATAGCGGAACACATGTCTGTCCCGCGCTACCGTCTCGCCAGCAAGAACGACGCAGAACACTCGGATCCTTCTGCAGTAAAGCTTTAATGCATCTTGAGAGATAGATGATCAGCTTCTTAGAGGGAGACCCCAAGCTAAGAAACCCAGCCCCTTATATAAGCCTAGGAGCTCCGAGTGAGACGTGTAGAGCCGGGATTGGTGGTTTGCACATCACCCCAGATGACGCCACGGGAGAGGCACAGCTTAAACGGTTAACTCCAACTGACAGCAGATGTCAGCGCCATCTTCTAACGGTTAACTCCAACTGACAGCAGATGTCAGCGCCATCTTCTAACGGCAATAGCGATAGCGAGGGCGGCTCCTCACATCTCCCCCTATTCATTTATTTTTGAAGCAATAGGACACCCACAACTTTGGAGTGGAGATAGAGGTCAAATCCCCATGTGCAAATTCGGAACATGTACAAAGCTCCTCTCCAGGGTCTTATCCCCAGAGAGAGCCCTGACCAGTCCGATGTCGTTTTTCTGGGGGAAGGAGATCATGACATAGAACCTTCATGCAAGATGACTTATCTCCCAGGAGAAAGTCGTTATACCGCAGACCTCTCCTGTGCAGTGCTTAGCCTTGCAACTCCTTGGGCTGCTGAAGCCTACCCACTCTATCCCGTGCAATGAGACTAGCCTCGTGGGGTGCAAGAGCTGGGAGGCCAGCGACCTATTGCTTTAACATGGTTAACCAAATGTCAGGGAGGCTCCGTGTTCTAAGGCAGCAAGTGCTTGTGCCACCACCACTTTGTCTCTTTTGTTTGGGCTCTGAGCTTACACACCATCCAAAGCATCAACACTATTCCACAGCAGAGAACTAGGCTAAATGATCCTACCCCCACCCATTCCTTAAAATAAGAAAATGCAGATGAAATCCAGGAGGAGAGGCCTTCCATCAGAGAAAGATCCAGATGCATCGAATTCACTTGCAGGATCGCCATTCTCAACTCACGGAGTGTCTGCTCAAACTCAAAAGTCCAATTCTGTAATAAATGTTGAGACAGAGCTTGTGACAGGTTAGCTGCTCTTGTAAAATTCTCATATTGTACTGAAGTGACACAAAGGCCAGGCAACTTTTGTTCACATCCCAATTGGGCCATCTGCCACAATATATCCAATTGTTCCTGAACCAAATTAATCTGTTGGTTTACCAACATCAGGCCTCCTTGTATCTGAGAATTGGCAGTGGCCTGTTTATCTAGGACCATGGTCACAGTGGCCTATAGTTCATTAATGGTTTGAGTTGTCTGCACAGTGGCAGAAAGTGCAAGGGCCGAGGCGGTAACCGAAGCAGTAACCGCGGCGGTGGCTATCAGGCCCACAATAATAGCAGAGATCCCAAAAATCTCGCTTTTCCCTAAACAAACTCAAATTACTTGGCGTCTCAACAGGAACTGGAACAAATCAAGGCATGCGCATTACCAAAGCAAAAGGGTGCTTAATAGCATCCCAGCATAATGCATAAAAACAATTCTAAGCAGAGCAATTTATTTCTTTCTGATTCTTACCTAAGGTATCATTACTCACAACCCAAATAAAGGGCAGCTGAATAATTAGTTCTCTTAAAAGGGGTATACTTAACATTGGAGGAGGACCAATCAGATGATCCATAGCTCTGTCCCTCACTCAGACTGTTGCCTAATGCCCCTTTCCAATCAAAAGTAATCTGTCCCTTCTCACTATCATAGGAGAAAGATCAGTACAGCTTCCATTAATTCAAAAGGATTAGCATTAGATCTTTCTGGATCCATATGAATAAAATTATCCTTTAATGAAGAAATCACAGTAAAGCACAAGCTTCCTACCAATGACAAGGTTCTCTCATCCTGAAAACTCTGTATCTGAGGATCTAAAGGCAAAAAGGCAAGCCCCAACTCTCTATTAGTTGTGAAAAATCTAGGGAACACCTGGGCATTCTGCATCACTGGCATCGGTAGGGGAAGGTAGACATGATGGCCCACCGTAACTCTCCCATCATACTAGGAACCATCATCCCGAGTAGGAGAGTCTTCATCACCCACTTGGCCTCCATCCTTCTTATTCTGGAGTTGTGAAGGAGCTCTTCGAGTGAGTCTTTCAGGGATCCACAGGGGGTTTTCTTCCTCCTGTGGAAAAACACACACAGCTCCCCTGGATCTTATAAGAATAGGATCCGGGCCTTTCCAGAGATCAGTCAAGACATCTTTCCATTTTACCATTTCTTTTGGCCTATCAGGCTCTAAACTGTGGCGATCGGCCGCAGTGTGGCCTTGGGCATCAGAGTTCAAGAAATTAAGGGTAAAAAGTGCCATGGATACAGCAACTCTTGGTACCGAGGGTAGAACATCCTCAATACTCCCTTTTGTTTAATCAGATATGATTTGAGTGTACGATGGGCACGTTCCACAATGCCCTGTCCTTGAGGGTTATAAGGTAGGCCAGTTAGATGGGTAACATCCATTTGCCGACAAAACTGTCGGAATTTTTGAGAGGTATATGCTGGTCCATTGTCTGTTTTTAAAATTCTGGGTTTTCCCCAAGCACTCCAGGCCTCAAGGCAATGTTGAATCACATATGAGGCCTTTTCCCCTGTTAGGGGTGTGGCGAACATTACGCCAGAACAGGTGTCAACAGAAACATGAACATATTGAAGCCTTCCAAAAGAGGGAATATGAGTAACATCCATCTGCCACATGTGCAATGGTCTAATGCCACGTGGGTTTATTCCCATGTGGGGAGTAGGTAAGAATTCGCAGCAATTCTGGCATTGAGTAACAATTTCCCTAGCCTCTTTCCTGGATAGAGCAAAACGACGGCGCAAGGTCTCAGCCGTCACATGA